AATAGTAAAATAAAATAATAACATAAAATGAAATAAAAATAAAATTAATGAAATAATGCAATGAGATCCACGCCCGCACCGGTCCGACATGGCGATCTGCTCCAGCATGGCCGAGCCCGTGTTGCTCTTCCAGTTCCCGGACACCGACGTCCGCCTGCGGGGAAGGAGGAGATTTCCGAGATTGCCGAGCTCCCCGAACTCAGCTCCCAGCCTCCCCGGAGATTGCCGAGCGCCTCCACCGAACTCCTACGCACGCACATGTAGGCCTTGTAGTTGTGCCCGATCTTCTGCACGCGCACGTCGTACTTGGCGTCGATGAAGGGCTCGGCCGTGGCGTACGTCTTGGTCAGCGCCACGACGCTCGCGATGTCCCGGAAGTCGTGCGGGTTGTCGACCTTGACCTGCGGGGCGGGTGGAATGGAAATGGAATTAAAAATGAACGTGAAATGGAAATAAAGACACCATTAGAGACAAAATGAAAAATGAAATGAAAATAAGATTAAAAATGGAAAACAAAAATGAAAATGAAATTTAAAAAAATAAAAATAAAATTAAAAATAAATAAAATAATAGAAAATGAAAATTAAAAATAAATAAAAATAAAATTCAAATAAAAATAAAATTACAATTAAAAATACAATTTAAAATAAAATAAATAAAATTAAAAATAAAACAAAATTAAACTAAAAATACAATTAAAAATAAGATTAAATTAAAAATAAAATAAAATTAAAAATACAATTAAAAATAAAATGAAATTAAAACTACAATTAAAAATAAAATAAAAATTAAAGGAAAAATAAAACATAAAATCCAATTCGATGAAGACATCCCGGAAAAGGCGACCAAGCACATGATCGTTGTTTCGCACCGAGCTCGCACTGGACTCACCTTGCCCATCCCGGAGTGCGCGTGGCCCATCTTCACGACCACGGGGTACGCCGTCCGGCTGAGCTGGTGGAGGGGAAGGATTAATTAATTAATCAATCTATTTTATTTATTTATGAATGATTCATTTTATTAATCAATGTATCTATCTATTTATTGATTTTGCACACAGGATTCTCAGCGCTCTGCCCGCGGGCCGGAAGAGGCCGGGACTCGAACTCGGGACTGCTGGGCAAAGCAGCCGGCGACGCGCTCTAACCACTGAGCCGCCACCCTTCCGGGGCCCTGAGACCGTGGCCAGTACGCGGTGATTCCGGGAAAACTACATCTCCCAGAATGCTCTGCGGAGAGCCCCACTAACTTCCAGTAAGACAGGAAACGGCTTCGATTGCCCCGCCCCTATCCCCAGGCCCCGCCCCCTATCCCCAGGCCCCGCCCCCTATACTCCGGCCCCGCCCCCTATACTCCGGCCCCGCCCCCGCCCCCAGGCCCCGCCCCCTCTCACCATCTCCCTGTGGGTCGGGTAGAAGGTCTGGTCGATGAGCGGGAACTCCGCCCCCACTACACCCAGGCCACGCCCCCTATACTCCGGCCCCGCCCCCTATCCCCAGGCCCCGCCCCCGCTCACCATCTCCCTGTGGGTCGGGTAGAAGGTCTGGTCGAGGAGCGGGAACCCCGCCCCCTGTCCCCAGGCCCCGCCCCTATCCCCAGAGGTCCCGCCCCCTATACTCCGGCCCCGCCCCCTGTACCCAGGCCCCGCCCCCTATCCCCAGGCCCCGCCCCCGCTCACCATCTCCCTGTGGGTCGGGTAGAAGGTCTGGTCGATGAGCGGGAACCCCGCCCTCTTTCCCCAGAGGCCCCGCCCCCTATACTCCGGCCCCGCCCCCTATCCCCAGAGGCCCCGCCCCCACTACACCCAGGCCCCGCCCCCTATACTCCGGCCCCGCCCCCTATCCCCAGAGGCCCCGCCCCCACTACACCCAGGCCCCGCCCCCTATACTCCGGCCCCGCCCCCTGTCCCCAGGCCCCGCCCCTATCCCCAGGCCCCGCCCCCGCTCACCATCTCCCTGTGGGTCGGGTAGAAGGTCTGGTCGATGAGCGGGAACTCCGCCGTCCCCAGCTTCCGGTGCAGGCGCAGCATCTGCGCGAACTGCGGGGATTAATTAATTAATTTTTATATTCCTTATGTATGCGGTATTCTCACTTTTATGTTGATTATGCATACAATATTCTGACTTTTATATTTATTACGTATACAGTATTCTAGTTCTTTTTTGTATTTATTATATATACAATATTCCAGTTTTTTATATTCATTTGTTACGTATGTAGTATTCTAATCAATTTTTATGTTCATTTATCATGCGTACAATATTCTAATTTCTTCTATTTACTTATCGTGTATACAATATTCCAATTTTTATATTTACTTGTCACGTGTGCAATATTCTAATTTTCTATATTTATTATGTATGCAGTATTCTAATTTTTTATATTTATTCATTATGTGTATAATATCCTAATTGTCTCTTATATTTATTTATTTACCATGGATACAACATTCTAATTCTTTTTTATATTTATTCATCATGCATACAAGGCTCTGTCTCTGCGTGTCTCCCTCCCGGCCACTAGAGGGAGCCCGACCCCACCGTGGCCGCTGTCGCCGGGACTCGAACCCGGGACCCGACCCCCCCCCCCCCGGGCGGGACTCGAACTCACCACCCAGGGCTTGTCGCAGAAGTTGTAGACCGAGTGCAGCGAGTTGACGCTGGGGACGCCCGCGTACTGCAGCCCGATGACCAGGCTGCGGAAGTCGCCGTCGCGCGCCATGCTGAAGGCGTGCTGGCGGATGAGCACGAAGTCGGGCCGCAGGGACCTGGGGCGGGGGAAATATTAATATTTATTTATATTGTGTATACAGTATTCTAATTTTTTATATTTATTTATTCATCATACGTACAATATTCTAATTTTTATATTTATTTATCCTGTGTACGGTGTTCTAATGTTTCTATTTATTCATCATGGATGCAACATGCTAATTTTTATATTCATTCATCACGTGTACAGTATTCTAGTTTTTATGTTTATTTGTTATGTGTACGACATTCGTAATTGCTTTTATATTCATTTATTGAGTATACAATATTCTGATTTTTATATTCATTTATCGTGCATACGGTACTCTAATTTTTTTATATTTATTTATTGTGTATGCAGTATTCTAATTTTTATATTTATTTATCATGTACACACTACTCTAATTTTTGTTATTTATTAATTTATTATGCATACATTATTCTAATTTTTATTTTTAGTATGTATATAATATTCTAATTTTAATATCAATTATGTGTACAACATTCTAGTTTTTATATTTAGCATGTATACAATATTCTGATTTTTATACTTATTTATCATGTACGCAACACTCTACTTTTTATGTTTATTTATTCATTATTGATACATTTTTCTATGTTTTACAGGGAAGGTTGAGTCAGCATCAGCGCTAGGTCCCTCGGCATGTATGCAGTCGGCGCTAGATAAATGTCTGTTTGTGGACTGAATAACCGACAACCCCCGTTTGTGGACTGAATAACCGACACGCACCGCACCACCTTGACCCCGTTCCGCAGCACTTCCACGTCCACGGAGAACCCGCCGCTGGCGTGGGCCACGAGGTTGAGGTCGGAGAACTCGGCCTGGGAATGGGGGAAAAAAAAAAAAAAAAAAAACAAAAATCAGTGAGATTCGCACTCAGGACCTAACCCAAAAGTCGGCGAGATTCGCACTCAGGACCTGAGCACAGCCCTGACCCCGACCCCGGACCCGGCCACTCACTTGCTCGACTTTGATGTCGGTCTCCCCATGGATCTTCTTCCCCTTGAAGTATTTGGCCCTGGAGAGGAAAAAGCGCAGAGAACACAGAATATTTTATTATTTAAAAAATATATTTATTTATTATATATATAATATTCTAATTTTTATATTTATTTATGTATTATGGGTACAATATTCTAATTTTAATGTTTATTTGTTGTGTATACGATATTCTAATTTTCATATTTATTTATGTATACAATATTGTACTTTCTATATGTATTTACTTATTATGTGTGCAACATTCCAATTTTTCTATTTATGTACTGTGCCTACAACATACCACCTTCTCATATCTATCA